CTGCATTAGTTTTTTCTTTCTTTTAGTTCAGTTTTCTTTATTTCCTTCTCGATTTTCTTCATTTTTCTTTGGTTTTTGTCACTTTTCTTATGTTTCTTTGTCGGTTTTCATCGGTTTTCCTTTTTTACCACGTGTCTAGTTTTTTCGGTACATTGTGTACATGTTTAGCATACATGTGATTTTTTTTTTCATAGACGTTGAACATTTTTCAAATACACAATGTATATTTTCTTAAATACATGTTCCGAAGATATTTTCAAATACATGGTACACATTTTTTTAGTATACATTCAAAAAAATTAATTGCAATGAAAAAATTCACAATGCATATTTTCTTAAACAGTTTTTGATGTCTACATAATTACACAATAAACAGTTTTTGATGTCTACTTTATAAATCAGGAATATCTTCTTATACATATTTAACATTTTTTAAATATCTGATCAATATTTTTTCTGTTTCCTTTTCTTTCTTCAGTTTTCTTCTTCTTTTTCTCTTTGGTTTTCGACGTTTTTTTCCGGTTTTCTTTGTTTTTTTACCTTTTTTCATAGACATGGTACATTTTTCATACACGAAAAGAACATTTTTATACATGTTTATCATTTTTTTAAAGTACATGATTATTTTAAAACAATATATGTTTTGAGGTCTAATGTTTTTCTATACAGATTGTACATTTTTCATATACAGTAGGAATTTTTCTTTTATACTTGTTTAACATTTTTTCAAATACTCGTTTCCAAATACGTCATTGTTTCCAAATAGATCTTTTAAAAAAATTCATATAGATGGTAAATATTTATAAATAATTTTGTAATTGTTTTAGTGCCATACAACATTTTAAAGCTATGCTAACATTTTTACATTGTATTAGCATTTTTCAAATACGTCATTAACATATTTTTTTGAAACACGTGAAAATATTAAAGTGTCACATATATTACATTTAATTGTACAAAACAATTTTTCTGAATTGTGAGAACATTTTCTTAAATTGTGTAAACATATTTTAAACTAGCTCGTGACATGTTTTTTCTTTTTATTTTTTTAAAACACATTTTACATTTTTCATATACATGTGGAACTTTTTTTGATACACATTAACCTTTTTCAAATACATATTTGTACAGGTTTTGATATAGATAAATGAACATTTTCTTAAGACATTTGTAAATACACTATGCGTTTTCTGATTGTTAATACATTAATATACTATGCACATTTTTCTACCTAATTTTAATTGCTACAAATAATTTTTGAAATACACAATGAACATTTTTCTATTGAACAATGAACTTTGTCATAACACTTGGTGAACATTTTTTTAAATAGATTACTAACACTTCCTTATGACATTTTTTAAATACACAATGAGCAGTTTTTACAATGCAAATACAATTTCTTAATACTTGGCGAATATGTTTTCAGAAAAACGTTCTTGAATTAAGTTTTCATCACCCCCTAATAATAAAGGTGCTATTATTTCTGGTCGTTCATCACAAAATTGGCCCCAAAGTTGCCCTAAATTACCCACTATGCCATCTATAAGTCAAGAAAATGATTCATTATTTTTAAACGCTGCCAGATTTATTTCGTGAAGGGGGAAGTGGTGGCGAGTCCTCCTAAATCGGCAATGGCTATACATGCAATAACAACGAATTATGCGGGGGCTTCGAGTGCTAGCCAAATTACTGAAGGGAAGTGGTCTAAACCGTGTCACAACATGTATAAGATGAACATGGACGCATGCTTTATGGAGGATGGATGCGGGGCTACCGCGGCCGTTCTTCGAAACCACCATGGACATGCTTTGGCTGGTTCATCGTCCCTGGTTAGTCACGTTCTCGATGCCCCCTCCGCCGAGGCGATGGCATTGAAAAATGGTATGATGCTTGCAGACCAACTTGGTTGTTTCAATATCACTTTTGAATCAGACTGCCTCGAAATTATCTTAGCATGCAAGGGGGAAGTGGACATTCTGAGTCCTTATTCGGCGATTTTGAGTGACTGCTTTATATTAGCTCAAAGAATTGGGGGTGTATCTTATGCTCATTGTTCAAGAGGGGCAAACCAAGTGGCACACAAGTTAGCTAGATGTTGTTACAATTCTAATTGTATAATTTCGTGGGATAATGATCATTCACAGTTTATTCTAGCTGAACTTGTTTCTGATGTATTCCTTATTTGAGTTGAATAAAATGTGCCACAAGTTCAAAAAAAACTCTGATACACTCAGATGTCACAAGTAAACAAGCAGTGCGGTGTCTGCGGCCCCACTCTTCCACGCGCAAGATCACGGATTCATTCCTGGTTCAGCTCTTTTTTCTTCCCTTTTCTCTGCACGCCTCCTACATCCCGTGCGCAGTAACGTGCCGTGCCCGTCGTGACGCCCCTGCTTTTTTTTAGCATCAGTACAGACACAAGCGCTCATATACACGCGCATACACTCACCCCTATAAACGCACACACACACCCTACCCCTATAAGCACCTCCGAGAGACTGAGCCGGCATATCATCTTGAGATTTACGAAGTCATCGTAGGCGCCTCGTCATCAACGGGAACGTCTCCTCCCACTGAAAGCGCATCGTCGGAAATCCTGAAATAAATCCAGAAATAATGCGAGCACCAGGATTTGAACCCTGATGGGTTGGGGATACCACTGTCCACCTAACCAACTCAACGACATGTTGATTCGCGACGCCCCTGCTTTTCATTATTTCATTTTTTTTTGCTTTTTGCTTTATCATTTCTGTATTTATTTTTCCTTCTTTAAATTAATTCATGATTTCCAAAAATCCAAATTTTCAAAAGTTGCATGTTTGAAAAATATATTGAGAGATCATAAAATGTTTGTGATTTTAAAAACTGTTCGCATATTATTAAAAAATCATGATTTAAAAAAATAGAAATAAAAATTTCAAGATTTTGAAAAATGATCGTGTATTCAAAAAATATTCTGTAATTTTAAAAAATGTCCATGAAATTTTTGAAAATGTTCACAAAAATTAAAACAGATCCGTAAATAACGAACAAAACAAACTGTTGTTTATGTGGAAGTTTTATTAGGGGATTTGTAGAGGTCGTTTTATGATTTTATTTAGTCCCTCGCGCGTCGGTAAGAAAAAGATTTTTGTGTTTTGTACAACACTGAGCCCAAAAAATTGACACAATTTCCCGTGGGTTTGCTTTTGTAAGCTATATAAAAATGACTAAATATTTATCTTGTCTCTGTACATAACTATGTTTATTCTGGTGCCATAATTTTTACTGGTTATGGAAAACACCGCTACCTTAGGTCAAGGCGAAACATATCCTCCTCCATGGTGCTTATGCCTGAGTTCATATTCCTCCTCAAAAGAGCTCCTTAACCCTCCTCCTCCTCCACAAAAAGAGTTAGGGTTTTTGCCTCCCGCCGGCGCCACCGCAGATCCGGTCCTCTCCGATGGCCCTAGGGCCATGGGGGCGCGGTGGATCTCGGCAAGGGCCGGCGGGAGGGCTCCATTTTTAATTGTTTCTTTTAGTTTTGCTAGGGGTTGTGTCCTACTCAGAAAGACGAGACGACGACGGCTCCCTGAAGATGGTATAAAGGTCTCCTCGTCTAGACCCCGTTCCGGTGGTGCGTCTAGCATCGTTGGTGGGCGTGTGGAGGTGCGTCTCCGGCGGATCTATCTTTGGTGGATTTGCTCGGATCTTGTCGTTGTTCGTCTATGTTCGTGTGTCTTCGAGTTGGATCCTTCTAATATACATTATTCTTCATCTGCGGCGGATGTTGTTCTGGTGCGCTGGTCCTACGGGGCTTTAGCACGACGACTTCCCGACTGTCTACTACAACAAGTTGTGCCCGACTTCGACGATGGAGGGGTGATGACGGCGGCGCGCCTTCGGCTCGCTTCAGTGCTTGTAGTTGTCGATAGGTGGTCTATGGACCTGGATGCATTTTTTATTATTTCTACTATTAGTTGTACTATCATGATTGGATATGAATAGATTAGAAATTTTCTCACAAAAAAGGCGAAACACATCATTTATCAGTCTAGCTTAGGCATGGTCCATCAAAGCAATTTGCTCAGCCAAAAAATATTTTGTGATGGCGCCTTACGAAATCAAGTCTTATGAGACCATTACATTTTTAGTTTTTTAAAATGACATTTGAAAAGTCACTTATCTCATCATGACATCATTAAGACATAGTTTGATTTTTAAAGTCCTTATCTTATCATGACATTGACTTTTTTTACCTCTGTCACATATGCATAATCTGGTTGTTTTTCCCTCATTACAACGCATGAGCATATTTGCTAATGTTATCTAAAATATACATGAATATATGGTTTATAAGAGAAAAATATATTCTTGAAAGAACCGACAAAGAAAAGAACCTACCAAAATAGAGCAAAAATGCTAGACCTACGGACGAACGATCTACGTAAAGTTACCTAACTTGCCTTAACTTATCTCTTCGCCCCGAGGGCCCCCTTATTTCCTCTAACCAAAACATGCCACCTAATTAGTTATGTTAATTATGTAGAAATCCTTACGATAGGTATAGCATTACTGAAAATGGAACGAGCGGAAATAGGGAAACAAGAAAAGGCGAATGGAGGTGCGAACGGAAAGAACCGAACGAAAAGCAGGGCCGAAGAAAAGAAGAAAAAAGTGAACGGAACGAACTCGAAGCTATCCTATGGGCCCCCATACACATTCGCTCTGGGCGAAGCGAGGAGAAACCTGTTTGCAAAAAACAAAAACAAAAAAACGCTGTCCGTGCGCGTGACCCACATAAACGCTACGCGCACACCACGCGTTACCTTGTCCGGATCGGACATGGAGACATCGCCGTCCTCCTAGCTGCCTATATATACATCCTAGTACATCCTCACGTACCCCGCTCGTCTAGACATCGATCCCCCGTCGAGAATCCGAAGCCAGCTCCAGCCTACGCGCGTTTCTCGCCGGCCGGCCGACCCAGCTCGCGCGCACAGCAACGTTCTGAGCTCATGTCGACGGTAGTAGGCGCACGTTCCGAGCCCACCACGCCGACGGCCACCCGCAAGCGCCCGGCGGCGGAGCGCGTCGCCAACGGCAACGGCGGCAAGAAGGCTCGGTACTCGTTCGGGAGCATTCGCGACTACGAGACGCTGGAGGTGCTCGGGGAAGGCGCCTACGGCCAGGTCTCGAAGGCGCGCGACCGCCGCACCGGCAAGAAGGTGGCGGTGAAGTGGATCCGCGCGCCCGACATGCCGGCCGTGATCCGTGAGGCCGGCTGCCACGCGGCGTGCCGCGGCCACCCGTCCGTCGTCGACATCCTGGACGTGGCGACGGACGCCGACACGGGGGACATGTTCCTCGTCATGGAGCTCGTCGCCGGCGGGCTCACCCTGCGCGAGCACCTCTACAAGCCTCTCTCGGAGGACGTGGCCCGCGTGATGATGCGGCAGCTCCTGGACGCGGCCGAGAGGCTGCACGGGGCCGGCGTCGTCCATCGGGACATCAAGCCCGAGAACGTCCTCGTCACCATGTTCGGCGAGCTGAAGGTGGGCGACTTCGGGTCGGCGACGCGCCGGAGGCCGCCCGGTGTGCCGTACGAGAAGTGCCGCGTGGGCACGCTGATCTACACCTCGCCGGAGCAGCTGGAGGGGAACCGGTGCTACGGGCAGGCCGTGGACATGTGGGCGCTCGGGTGCATCATGGCTGAGCTCCTGGCCGACGGGACCCTGTTCGTGGGAGACACGGAGGAGGGCATGGTCGCCGAGATGGCCAAGCTACGAGAGCAGATCGCCTCCACGGGGAAGATGGACCTGGAGTGGTTCCCGGATCTTTCGGAAGCCGGGCACGGCCTCCTCACTGGCATGCTTGCATTCGACCCCGACCAGAGGCTCACGGCGGTGGAAGCGCTTCACCATCGGTGGTTCAACAACAACGAGGCCTCTGCTTCGTGACTGTTAAGTTAATTAGCTTCATTAGACCGATGGACGAAATGTTCAGTGCATTGCTCTGTGGTGTCCCAGAGTTAGCTTAATTATCCTGCAACCCTCTGCAGGTTTGTTTTGGGGAAAAGGTTTGGATAAATTTAAGCGTGTATGCACCAACTTAATTGAGATATAATCTATGTGTGCTGTTGTGCGCATCCTGATTTGAGATAAATCTTTGAAATGCACGATGGACTTGCTACTTATGCAAATATGCTGCAATGTACAGAACGTAGTATATATTCTCTTCCATTTATCCTTCAATCGTTGGTTTTTCATTTTTCATAATCAGATAACTGCACGGCAGTGACCACATTTTTCCTTGCAATATTCGAGTCCTCGGTGACTCAAATGCTTTGTTCAAGTC